TCTTCCTTCCCTCTCTCCTATTCAACACTATATTGCTGTGTGAGCTTGTGTTAGTCATGTTCACGGCCGTTATTTTACTTCTCAACTGCTACCAGTGCTTGGACTTAAACTTCAACCCAACAACATAATGGCTACTGAGACAGATGACAGAAGGAAAAACATGATAAACCATTAAAACACACTTGGATGTAACCAAACACTTCATCAAAACTCTTCCAGACCTTATCACTCTCCTTGTGTGCCTCCTTATGTATGAGCGTGTGTGCTTAATCAACATGTGGCCTACAGGAAGAAAGATAAGTTCAGAAAAATATTCAATGTACACATGCAGAGGATTTGAATGGTAAACTGGAAAGGAATGTGCAGATATTTCAAATCAATGTACATATCAAATAACGTATTATTTCACTTTTGAAATAAATAGTACATGCTTTTGGTAGCTTACAGAGAAATGCAGTGTTTAGTTTTGCTTAATTTAACTGTACTCTTTATTTTGTACTTATTCTGGTTTTAGGCGGCTTCTAAGTCATATGAAGAGCAGTTAACTGACTGGGCAATGTGTGCTGATGCTTTAGATTGCAATACTGTAAGCAGCCTAACCATCAGAAATGCTGCAGATTTCAATCTTAACTTTGACTTCAGCTCGTATATATGCAACAATCATTTAAGAAAGACTGCCACAGCTTCCCAAAGTTATACCGGTTGGGGTCTTTACTAATTGTATTTTATTTACCCAAAGAGAATTTAGAAATATGTTTACGGGACCCTATGTTTTCATTGTTTTTAGGCAACATTGGTTGGTAAAGTGTCACTATAGGCAGAGGAGGCTTTGACGGACAGTTGAACTATGAACGATGGCTATGTCAGTTAAGATTCAACAAACTCAAATGGATTTACTCCATTATTTAATTGTTAATAAGGACTCTATTTAATAGGAATTAACTACATATTTTGTTCTCACGTTAATACATTGCAATGTTTTTTTGTCTTGTGTTTTTGTGTCTTTTTAAAGGACACAATTGGCATCGTTGGTCATATCTTTCAGTCTCCCTACATCAGAGTATATTTGTCACACTGCTGATTGCTGTAGCTCTCTAATATTACTAATCCTAATATTTCAACATCATTTTAGTTGTTCGTAAAAGGGATAACACTAGTGATTCATCATTTGTCTCTATTAACTTAAACATTGTTGTAGAATGGAAGTAAACAATCATCTGTTGACAATTAGGAGAAGGTTTCACTACAGAATATCAGTATGGTACTATATTATGTGATGTACTTTTTATGCGTCACTGTATTTATTATGCTCATTGTACGTGTTGGAATTAACATATTTGTACACTGACATTTCTGGTTCATGCAAATTACTCAATTCACGAGTATGGCGTCTTGCAGATGAACACTAACGTGAAAACATTCCTCAGGCTAACCATATCTGTAATTGATTTACTCCAAAAAAATATTCTAAACTATCTGATTGAAAGGAGTTTAGTTTGCCTTTGTCAAACCTGTGAAGTCAAATGAAGATAATCTGGTATAATAAATGTTTTACCATGCTGAATTGAACTCTTAATCAGTTGATTTTGTTGTTCCTCCAGCATCTTGTCTCTGTATTTGCATGGCAGGCAGTAATCCAAAGTGCAGGTGCAGATATGTGTCAATGCACCGATGCTCTCTGGGCCTTCTGCTGTTCAGCTTACATGGACTGGGATAACGCCATGCTCACGGTTGTTGGTTATGTTGAAACTGGCTGAAGACTAATCCAAAATGTGGATTTGCACTGTTCAGGACAATTATTAACGGGAGGTGTTAATTTTTCCATGAAAAGCAGATGTAAAAAAAAAAATGTCTAGACTTCTTTGGCTTCTGAATGTGTATGTTGCAGTGTGTAAGTTTGGTGTATTCATCTGGCTGAAATAATAGCTCAATGAGACCTTGGCCTCTCTTACGACTGGAAATTACAGTTCCACTTGGTCCCCTGGACTGCTTGACCATCACACAGCAATATTAACATGTGACTCCTCTTTTCCAAACCTGCCCCTTTGAAATTCCTAACCCTAAGGCCAAAATGAATGGCAATAGGATTTGTTTGTGTTCTATAGTTGCACCTCCAGTCAATTGAAACAAGGGTGAGAACTATTTGAAGTCACTCTTACTAGCAGTCTTTAGATGCAGAGAGAACCAAGATTTATAAAATGAGATATTTTATTTGTGTACAATCAATATTTTCTAGGCTGAGCTGGTGTATTGTATTGTATGAATGATTGCACATAATGGTATTTAAGAAGATAAATGAAGTTGTTGTATGGGTTGATGTGATACTCTGCCTTCATTCCTCTCTCAGACCTGAACAATCCCACCCTACCCCGAGGGAAAAAAATAAAAGTACACATTTTCAAATGGCTCCGGTTGGGTTTTTTGTTCGCTCTTTCATTTATATTGTGATGTGGCCCAGTGTGCTTTCTATGTGCATGCAAACCGAGAAGAAAATATCTGGATTCATTCAAATACAACTTTAACTGTGTGATTACAATTCTACAAAGGAATTTATGATGTTATTTTATTCAATCATTTATCACAATGTTCTGTAATTAAAATCATCCAAACCACTGGAACATTAACAAAAGTTATTCATCGAATATCACTGATAACTCTCCGAATCGGCCCTCTTCTGACACCTGGAGACATATTTGGATTCAGACATTACAATTGTTTTTTATTTTAGTATTGATTTTAGCAGCACTAATGTCTGTGCAGCTGCATTGTTGCATTTTACATCTATAAACAAGTACGACTTTTCCCTTTGCCTTTTTGTATCTATAGCAAAAAATGACAGTTTTACTGTATTCAATAGCCTACTATAATCATACCTTTTTTATTTGAAGTTTTGAATCAGAATTTGACAACCAATGTAGGCTACAGATCTATCTCTTCTATACATTGTATTTACATACTTACTTTGATGTAAAGTAACTAAGTAGATTTACTCAAGTACTGTACTTAAGTACAATTTAGAGGTATTTCAATTCAATTTTTACGTTTACTACACTACAATTCAGAGGTAAATCGTGTACTTTTACTCAACTACCTTTATTTAATACCTTAATTTACTGTGCAGATTTGGATCGATCATTTAGTTACACCTGGAGTAAAATGTACAGGCTACCCTGCTGTGTACAAAGTAATGAACCAGCTTTGATAAACACTTTAATGGATCAATATTTATAATCCAAAAATATGATAAAAATGATTCTGAAATGGGCCAATCTGCATAATGATTACTTTTGGTTTTTTATATTGAATACTTTTGTTCTTTTACTTGAGTCACATTTTGACTACAGGACTTTTACTTGTAACAGAGTATTCCTACTGTACACTCTGATACTCTGATATTTTAACTTGAGAAAAAGATCTGAATACTTTTTCCACCTCTGAATTTTATACATGGACTTTATTTTTGTTAACATTAGAAGCGGTTTTACCCTTGTCGTTCAAAGAGGTAGCGGTTTGGTTGAGAAGTTTCCCATCATGTTCCTTACGGGCGTACCTGAACAGTAAATTGAATGTGATTGGTGGAGGCGCGTGCTGCACCTGGCTGCTGTTTGCAGGTCTGTAGTCTCTGAGAGAGCACGAGGCAAGAGTTTGCGTGATTGAGTGATACAGAGCGAGGATTTAAATGGCAGCTACTTTTTAAAGGTACGGTGAGTAAAAAACATATGTAACGGTGCTCTGGTGAGTCTATTAAAGCAACACAGTAAGTGTTATTGTTCAAAGGGGAATATTTGTAATGTTAGGAACATTTTATGTGAGGATGCGAGCCCTACATTGTAAGCAAAGAACTGACAGCGAAACTCTGTGGAGAAATTGTGGAATTAACGATGTCTTGTTGGATAAAAGAGCAAAGATATGTTTTAACACTTTCGGATTCGTCTGTGTCGACTTGTATATTCGGCATTTTAATATCCCTTTAAGCAGGATATGTGTCAGTGTTATTTGATTAATAAAAGTTGGTTTGCCTCTTATTTTCAAAAGGGTCTCCACATTTAAAGTTATCATTTATGAGAATATATTGCTAGTTAATACATTAAATGTATGCAAGCCGAATACAGCAGCGAGCAACAATAAGTAAGATAGTGTATCATTCCAGACATGTGACACATTTAACCCTTGCTGTAAATAAGGAGGAATTAAACAAATAATTTTTTCAATGATGTTAAGTGTAACATTGGCATATAAAGAACCATAATTAGGGGAGGACATATATTCATGGCCCAAATGTTTTGCACTTGTATATTTCGAGAAAGAGAAGTAAAAGAGGTGACAATTTATTTCTGTGTGTGAGGAAGTGATGGTACATTGTTGACATACAGTGTCTGCCTTTGGGTTTTTCAACTTGACAGGTAAAATACATTTTAAATGCTACTCTTTAAATACATATTTAAGTTGTTTTATGCTTAAATGCTACAGGCTCATTTCGGGCAGCAAATAAACAGTTTCAGAAATATAACCTGTATGTTTTTTGCTACATAGTTTTGCACATTCCAAATGCATACACTTGTTTTGTCTAAAAGCACTTCAATTCTTATGAATGTATATTTCTGTATCTCCTCAGATCTGATTGGCTGACGGCAGGATATTCCCTCCTTATATCATTTTTGGATTTGAGATATATAGATGGAGGGAATGCTGCTTCTAAAATCTGCCTCTCCTCCCAGCTGTTCCTCTCAAAACTCTTGTCCCTCGCTTTCACCGGATGCTCAGGAAGCTTCAGACCCCCGGTCATCTTCCCCTGGGCCTCCCGCCATGTGTGTGACAGCCGGACCACCACCACCTCCTCCACCTCCTCCACCTCCTCCTCCTCCTCCTCCTCCCCCCCCCCCTCCTCTTCCTCCTCCACCTCCTTCATTTGGCTTTAATGATGTCCAGCGACGTTCCATGAAAAAGCTGAACTGGGACACCATTCCCAGCCAACGCGTCCTGGGCAAATTGAACGTCTGGACATCTATGCGGCCTCAGAGGGTCCTCGAGCTGGATATTCAGAGCATTGAAGAGTTGTTCAGTCATGTAGACAAACGGGCATCGCTGCGCAACTCAAAAGTCATGGGTCTGAATACGTGTGATAGCTTGGACCTCTTTCCACAGGAACCTAAGGTAAATAGCAACAGTTGCACTCATGACAAAGGGGGATTTCCTGTAACTGATACAGACCATCCTACGTTTTTTTTTGCAATGTAATGTCAAACTGAATGCATGGACTAGGGAAGTAATTAACACATAAGTAGGAACTGCTTTTCAAAAGTTCCACACTAATCATTGCATCGATGGGGAACTGCTAAAGTAAAACCCTTTTGGGAGTGTTTTTGCTTCCTCAAAGGTTTTATTGAAAATAGATTTGTCTCTTCATCTGAAAACTAATCCTTTTATTGATGTGTAATTTTTCTTCCTTTTTTTTAGGTCACAATCCTTGACTCTAAAAAAAGCATGAATATTGGGATCTTTCTGAGACATTTCAAAAGGTAAATAATGCTGGATTTCAATATATCTATAAGAATGAGTGTATGTCTTAAAAACATAAAACCCCAACCACAAAATGCAAACACAACTGGAACCAAATTAATTTGAAGTTAAAACTGTTAAAACCAGAGGGTGCTTTAGTGTCAAACATAGTCAGCAAATGGCTCTTGACACACTATTCACTTCCACTGCAATAATCATTCCCTAACCATCGGGTTCTTTATCTTAGCAGACCATATTCAAATAAATGGAAATATTTGAAACATCATTTAAGAGCGTTCAGTTTCAACATGAGCTACTCAGCTTTTGTATACATCAATAGGAGAGAACAGTTTTGTATCTTAGATTATGACTTGATCATTTAAAAGGGGCAGCTACTAAGAGTTTAATGATTGAATTGAATCTAAGAGATATTGTGAATTGTTGTGATCTAACTGACAGGTGAATTTCAACATGACCATTGCTTGCACTATGTATGTTATGCAAGCATGTAGGATTGGTTTTTACAAGGAATTGAGAGGTTTTTAAATAGAAACAAAGGAGTACAACAAGAAGAACAAAAGAATGTTACTTTTTGCATTTATATCAACCTAGCAATACTCAATATGACAAAGTGGATATCATGCTTTCCATGATAATGATAGTATAACAATGCTGTGTACATTTCTTTTTTAATAATGCACAGAACCTATTTAAAAACATATATAGTTGCCTTGATTTTGACACGTAATGTATTTCCATTTTTACCACAACAAAAGTTGCTTTTAGTTCTTTGATTGTCAAGTTGTTTACATTCGCCTTTAGCGCCTAAAGCCAAATGGCAGTGAGTGCATGGTCATATGTGACATTTCAATCATCTAATCTCCTCTCATCTGGATTATGGCAGCTAGATAATAACAGAATCCAATTTAGGGAGATTTTAATTAGTAAATTAAACAAAATTGGGAGGTGAACACATAAAATGTTGGAAAGTCAGGGAGGCTTTTGACTAAAATGCCCCAAACTGTTAAGCAATTCTAAAATGGTAGTATCTTCATCACTGGAGCCAGTTTCTGTCTATGAAACTCATCAATATGAAGTCACTCTCAGTCCAGGGTTCACTCAGCCTTCTCTTTGCATACCAAATGCACTCTCAATGTGTGTTCATTTATCTTCAGCGTTTGACTTTATGACTGTTAAGCAGCCATCTCTCCCAGGGCCACTGCAGAATTTCCCACCAATCATGCAACACCTTGGGAGCTCATTTAAACCAGGCAATGGTCTGCAACAGCACTGTCACACACACACATTATAAAATAAAGTTGTTGTAGTTCTCATGTGATTGATAAATGTAAATAAGCTGATTGTATCCCTCTGCAGGCCAGTGGCAGAAATGGTGCTGGACATTAGTCAAGCAAACTGGCTCAGATTTGGATCAGGCAAACTACAAGAGCTTTGCAAACTACTGCCTGAAGAAAGAGAGGTAAAATCAGCTCTATCAGCTTCTACATTTATACTATATGCATAAAATAAGCCTACTAAATATTACATTTCTAATCCATTGTTTTTCTCTATTGAAATAATAACAAAAATATTGACCCAAAGTTACTGTAAATTCTGTTCTATACTGCAAATGCTTCATGTTGTTCAACCATGCTACCTTTCCTCATAACTACCAGATACTTGCCGGTTCAATTCCCTCTTTTGTAATATGTGAGAAGGAATTATAACAATTACATGTTACTTGTTAGATTAGACAATTACATCACTGGTTGTTGAATCAAACAGGTGAAGCAGGCTGCTGTCGTTCATGGTGGAATCTCTCCGTGTTACCAGAGGCTGACCGCTTTATGGTGCAGCTGGTCAAAGTGCCGGGGTGAGTTTCAAAATAGCTTTCTAAAAATGTTTTGGGGTACCTCAAATATTTATGGAATGTCTGAATGGAAGTATTACATGAAACGCATCAAACGTGTGTGTTCACAGAGGGAACACGTGCTGTTATTTTAGTCAAATGTTGCCTCATCCAGATATCTCTTAGTTTATATAACTGATAATGCAGTAATTAGCCATTTTGTAAATCTTCTCTTGCCTGTAGCTATGACGAACGTCTCTGAAAATGATGGTGCTGAGGGAGGAATTCTTCCCTCTTATGGAGGAGATGAAGATCTCTGTTGCTGTCATGACCAAAGCAGCTCATGGTAACCACACCACACACACACACACACACACACACACACCACACACACACACAACACACACACAACACACACACAAGTTGCTAACAATCCAAACTACACAATTCTCAATTTAAGTTTATATTACGGTTCTCTGTCTCCATCTCTTTCTCTTCTTTCCCCTTAGAGCTGTTGAACTGTGACGACCTCCACTCAGTCATTCGGCTGGTATTAAAAGCGGGGAATTACATGAACGCTGTTGGTATTTTTCTTTAGAAAATATGTTTGTATTACATATTATTTCAATGCATTTATTTTATGCATTTCATCAACTTGCTGTGCTTTTTACCCTGCATTTATAAACTGAAGAAACTACTATTCAAATGTTTTTACTCAGGGTGGTTACAGGTGCCAAATGCTCCATCGGCTTCAGGATGACCTCTCTGCTCAATCTGGCAGACACCAAGGGCCAACAAGCCGGGCCATGAACCTCATGCACTATGTTGCCAAGGTGAGTCAAGCTTTGTCTCTAAACAGTTGTGTAACTGATTTATTCTCCTGCTCCATTCTTTACTCACAAACTGCTCCACCTCCTTTATCCTCCCCCCCCCCCCCCCCCCCCCCCCCCCCCACAGCAAGCCGAGGACATCGATGCCGAGTTGCTGACGTTCCACACCCAGCTGGAGCACATTGGGTTGGGAGCAAGGTATCATTCACACACAGTAGCTTCAAAGTTAAATGTGATTCAATCTTATATTACGTCTGGTTGGTATGATGCACAATTGTGTGTTACCTGGAATAAGTCATGTAAATGTGACTCATGTCCCTTGCTAACACAGAGTTTGTAAAGAGGAAGTCATCACGGACTTTGAGAGGCAACTCAAAAAGGTCAAGGAAGTGAAATTGTACTGCAGCAGACAGCCTGGCCTCTTACAACAAATGGAGACATTTCTCTTGGTAAAGTTTCCCCCTGAGCTTGTAAACACTTCAGTCAGTCTCCAGTATGGTCCATCTGCTTCATACCATTTCTAATGCTATCATTTCTCAGAGGGCTGAGGCCAAGCTGGCAGATGTGGAGTTCTCCGTTCTGGAGCTGAAGGCTCGTAGCAATGCTGTCGCTGAGTATTTCTGTGAAGACCCGGCTACCTTCAAACTGGAAGAGTGCTGCTCCATCTTCCATTCATTCTGCAAGCGGTTTGACACAGCTGTAAAGGTAAGAATAGAAAGAATTTACAATCATATTTAAATCTGCTTAGAAATAAATCGCATCACAAGGAGAACTTTGTATTGAAGTGGCAATTTAAAGGAACCAGACCTGGTTTAACGTCGAATGCTTTCAATGTTTTACAAATGCTGTCCTAATGTTTACTTGTGTCATTTGCACTGTGTAGTATCTTACTTGAATATATACTCCCTTTTCACGGCTGTAGGAGAATCAAGAGCGAGAGGCAGCCGACCAGAGGCGCAAGCGGAAGGAGAGTATGCGTTTTGTAGCCAAACGCCGCTCCATAGTGTCTTGCCCAGGACCCGACACTGATCGGGACTCAGGTATAGAGTCGGCCTTACACAGCTTTCTCTCCTCCGCTCCAGAGGGAGTAGTCAGAAACAGGAAGAAGATACTGCCCCCAATCGAAGGATCGCCTGTTGAACGCAGCGCTTCGGTTCCATCGCTAGCAAAAATGGAGACTCCGCCCCGCACTAGACCCGAGAAGAAACAACCCATACTGCAGGAAAAAGACGAGCAAATAAGTGATCTAGAAAAAAAAGAAGAAGCTGAAAAAATGCGTGAGATAACCAGGAAGGTGCTTCACTATCAAAGCAGCAGAAGCAGCCTTAATGGGAGCAGAGATTCAGAAACTCCCCTACGGTCGGAGAGAGCACAGGACACACCAGACACCTCGAGTACCCCGAGTACCCCGAGTACCCCGAGTACCCCGAGTACCCCGAGTACCCCGACTACCCCGAGTACCCTGAGTACACCGAGTACCCCTCAGCCTCGAACCAGAGACTTCTTCTTCTCCAACAACGATGATTCGGGCTCCCCATGGACGATCCTGAGCCCTTTTACTAGCTCCCAAAGAAACACCAGACACCTACGCAGACTATCCTCAACTCCAAGTGGAAAAGATGGAGTGTGGGAGATGGACAAAGGCAGTTTCCTCGCCACTTCCTCTGAACCGGACACTCTAACATCTCCCCCAGAGGGTCCTGCCTCCCTCCCTGAGTGCCCCAGTCTAAGAGCTGTGTCGCAGGCTCCCATCCTCAGGTCTGTTTCCATGGATGGAACCACGCGATCTCCAGCATCTGGCTTTCGGCTGGGAGACTTCATCCTGAGAAGCATGTCTCAGAGGTCATACTCCTCTGGATCAAGGACAGAATACAGGAGAGATGGAGGAGCAAGAGTGTCTTCATTGTTTGGCAGGAAGGCTGGGAATCATGTAGAAGACCAGGGGGGCTCCTCGGGGCTCCTCTCCTTCTTCAGGCGCATCGGAGGCAAAAGTAGGCCATACGATGTGGAAGAGCACAAATATAATACTTGAAAACATTTTTTTATTTATAGACAAAGGCCAAGCTTTGTCATTTTTTCTATGTTTAAGAATTTAAATTAGTTTGTCTTTTTGTATTGATATGGTTTTACCCTTCAGTGGAACCAAGGCAAATGGGGACTTGCTTTGAACTGTGAAGGTTTTGTTTTTGTGAGGGTCAAACCATGTTCAAAAACATCTATCTTTTTGTGCGCAATAAAGGGTATTATTCTTTCTTTTTTATTTTACTTGTATATGGATCATGCACCCAACAACTTTGACATGTTGAAAAATGTCTCCTTTCCCACCCTTTAGTCTGTCTGGTGCTCATGTCTCCTTAGTCACGCCTACTCAGTTTTCAGTACTTGCCTTTCACTTCATCTATTATTTCTTCTGGCTGGGAGGCGCTCGTTAACGCAGCAAAAAGAACCCTTTATCTTTAAGGGTTTTAACACGTATACAATATGCACACTGAGACAAACACAAAAGCAACGAGATAGGAAATTCACATGTATATCATTGAAATGTCAACCTCCTAGCTGATGCTGTCATCACATTGAAAACATAATCTGAATAGGACACATTGTTGCTGGTGAACCCACGCTGGGATCCAGATGATCCGTCCTACGACAACTGTGCCACCCGTGTGTCTCTGCTCAGCAAAAGCCAAGAATTTGTACAGAAAGAGACATTCAGCTGTGTTACTTTGGCAACAGGGCTTGTTTACAGCTATTTAATTTGAGCTCTTAGTGAAATAACATTCTCTGGAACAAACTGTTAAATACAGGCTCCTTTCTTACTTGTCCTCCCACTGGCAAGCGCTCAATGGGGACATTTCCCCTGGCATTTCAAATCAAGGGGCACGATGAATAGAATTTAAAAAAGGGAATATATATGGGCAGTTTTTGAAGGAATGTGACTACTTTGTGACAAAGAAAGTTAAGTTGTTTCTCTAAGTCATATGCCTGCAAGCTATCCTTTAAGTTGAGGATGTCAAACAGAAGCCCAAAGCAAGGCCTTCTCTACACAAGCAGAGATGACGTTAGCAGCGGCTGACCTGTTTGGTGTCAAATGAGCTCCAGAGTACAATTGGGCCGTTGTTATAAAATGTTCACTGCGTCCAAGGAACATGTCATGTGAGTCAAATCCTGAGGACTGGAGGTGAACTTTTGTCTCTCACCAGGGCTGTGCTAATCAACGTTTAGAGTATGTGTGTGTATTAGTGTGTCACAGTGTAAGATGAGAAGCAAGCATGAATAGAGAAGGAGGTGAGGTTGGGGGGAAATTTGGAACAAGTGACAGAGGGAGGGAGACATGCAAGTTACATTGTGAGGAAGCATTTAGGCGGAGAAGAGAAAGTGAGAGTAGACGGGAAGCCAATATCTTGAAAACGGAGAAAGCACAAAAAGGCAAATGCACAGGATGAATAACTGAGGTCAGCTGGACTTACAGATGAAAGAAAAAGGCCATCAGGTGACAATCCTGGATGTTTCTTTTATGTGGGAACTAGCTGCTGGAACCAAAAGGTAGATACATTCTGAGTATTTTTGATAAATGCATTACAGAATATTAGCTATAATATGTTTTAAAGCAAAGCATTGCTCTAGATTAGATATTTCCATGTTTTTATTTTGTGTAAACCTCAAGCACTGAAGCAAATAGCTGCACAGAGGTCTGGTTTAAAGAAACTCATTATCCTGCTCTTTGGTAACATGACAAGATCAGACAGTGTGGAAACGTAATCCACCGAAGCAGCTGTGGGCATTAGATTGTTTATACATGCTATAATCAGATTTGAGGTTAGAAAGGAAACAAATGTTGTTTGCAGACTTTAAATCACATTTTGGGTTTGTTACTATTTACTCCATCAATATGTAGTCTATGAATGCTGAACCTGTAGCTGCTCTTTGGTGGAAAGTATCAGTTACTTTTCAAGCCTCCTGTCCAGGCTCATGTCCTTTGTTGTATCAGTGTTTCCTAAACCTAATAATTTATCCCATTTATTGTATTATTATTTTAAAATGTAATTTACATTGATTGTTGAATACATTTAACTAAAAAGATGCATGTTATATTCTACCTTCAATATAGAACTATAAGAGGCCTATCATCTGATTGTCTACTGTTAACATGAAATATATATAATCAAACCGCGGGATTATAAAACGATTTATTCAATGTTCTGTTAATGTGACCAATGCAGGCAATTTCCATGATAACTCTTTAAAAGTTAAAAAGGACTGACCCCGACGTGATTTGAACACGCAACCTTCTGATCTGGAGTCAGACGCGCTACCGTTGCGCCACGAAGTCATACAGACGAAATGTGGAACTACTCTATATAATCCTGTTGAGGCATATATTTACATCCAATTGCGTGGTTTTGAATAATTACGCATAATGTCAATGTTAGTCAATGTTAACACACACCGAGGTCATTTGTGTAACCATGGGCATTGCAGACACTAGGTGTAATTAATTTGTTTAATTTCTCTCGATTGAGATAAAACAGTCGTTATCTGATTTCGCTTAAATACGCGTGGCTTCAAAATGTGTCTTTATTTTCAGATTTCAAAAAGTGAAAAAGGTAAGATCATACCACTATGTTCTCATTGTATCTGTATGTTAGGAAAGTGTACGTATTCAACCAATATATCCAATAACTGATAGAATGCTGTTAGTGATTTAGTCCCCAATCGGTCGCTAGATGGTGCAATTTAACAGAGGAGCGTTGGTTTCAAACTTGGTCCACATTCATTAAGCAGAGCCTTGAATGCCCTCAACATAATAATAGTGAGTAAGTAATTCAATTTGAACTATGAAACTTTTAGAATAATAATGACATTGTTGTTCATGGTCCCACTATAATATACGGGAAAACACACCACTATTCCCAGAATCCTATGTTCCTTGTAATTATATAAATGTTAGTTTTTTTTGTTATTCAAATGCTTCTCTCTGTTGATCCAGCCGTTTATAGGAGTAAGGAGTGGCATCTGGAGAATCTAGGGCACTTACCATCCAACCTTCATTAGTGAGCAACCTGTTCATAGCAGAATGGATCGGTAAGTGCAACACAAATAAATGTGTGTTTTGACATTTTGCATTGTCTGTTGATTGACCCTAGGTAGGCTATAGGTGAAACTGTATTTAACAACATAACAAAACTCTTTAGGCTCCCACAGGGTTTGCTATCATCAATAAAACAGTAATTATATTAACCAGTCACCTTAAAAAAGACTTGCTTAGTGCTGATATGAATGTCCTTCCTGCCCTAGCCACTCTGATTAGGATGCATGCTGTTTTCTGCCTATACACTGATGAGATGAGCTTAAACGACAGGGAGTTTGTGCAGCGCATTGATTATGGGTAAATGTCACATTGTTGCCATCAAGGTGAAGGAAAGGCGATGCTGTGTTATTTGTGTGGTTTATCAACTCAGGCTGGTCTGGTTAAGTCAATTGTTTAAGTTCATAGGAGCAATTAACAGTGTAACTCAGTCTGTTAGTTTGGTTACTGGACAACACAAGAAAGGTCTGGGTTCTCTCTCTGGTTTTTCTGTGGATGAAACCATTTATTTTTCATAATATCTTTGCATTAACTGAAAGTAAGAATTTAATCTGACAATGTAATGCTTTGGGAAATTGTCCAGTACCAGTATAGTATATAATTGAACCAAATCAATTCAATTCAATTCAATTCAAAACCTTTATTTATACAGATAAAACCCATTGAGATCATAGACCTCTTTTACAATGGTGACCTGCTTCAATTAGTTCCAAACATTAATACAAACATGACAGAAAACAAAGGACATTATATGATACTACAGTTTGTATACTAGTAGCATTTACAGACACCAATATGTTCTGATTGTATAGCGTCTATCCTAGCTTTAAAAACATGAAATGGAATCAAACTGCTTAGCTTCCATTCCTTTTGTAGACTGTTCCATGCTAGCGGCGCTGCGCATCTAAAAGCTGTATTTCCTAATACAGTCCTAGCAGTTGGCACATGTAATACAACCACAGCTTTAGATCTCAGGCAGTAGCCATTTACAATACGCTGTGAGATCAGGGAACAGATGTAAGACGGAAGTTTCCCTAACATTGCTTTATAAATAAAAATCAAATGCAGACATGCATACTTTACACAGGCTAATAGTAATGAAGAAGCATCGAATGTTTTTCATCTGATTCATATGTAATGACACATTTGGTGTGCTATATGAATAACAGGCAGAAGGTCCATGATCGATTTCGTTATCGTATCATCGGACCTGAGGCCGTATGTTTGGACACTCGGGTAAAGAGAGGGGCGGAGTTGTCAACTGATCACCATCTGGTGGTGAGTTGGGTCGAGTGGCGGAGGAAGCCTCTGGATAGACCTGGTAAGCCCAAACGTGTAGTTTCGGGTGAACTGGGAACGTCTGGAGGAGGCCCAAGTTCAGGAGGCCTTCAACTCACACCTCCGGCGGAGCTTTCGGGCATTCCTGTGGAGGTTGGGGACATTGAACCAGAGTGGTCGGTGTTCAAAGCCTCTATTGCCGAAGCCGCGGCGGGGAGCTGTGGTCTCAAGGTCCTAGGTGCCTCAAGGGGGCGGTAACACTCGAACCTCCTGGTGGGACACCGGTGGTCAGGGAAGCCGTCCGACTGAAGAAGGAGGCCTTCAGGGATTTGTTATCCCGGGGGACTCCCGAGGCAGTTGCAAGGTACCGACAGGCCCGAAGGGCAGCAGCCTCATCCGTGGCCGAGGCAAAGCAGCGGGTGTGGGAGAAGTTCGGAGAAGACATGGAGAAGGACTTTCGGGCGGCACCAAAGTTGTTCTGGAAAACTGTCCGACACCTCAGGAGGGCGAAGCAGGGAACCATCCAAGCTGTGTACAGTAAGGATGGGACGTTGTTGACCTCAACTGATGGAGTGTTAGGGCGTTGGAAGGAACACTTTGAGGAACTCCTGAACCCGACAACTCCGCCCTCTATGTTAGAGGCAGAGCTGGAGTATGACGGGGGATCAACACCAATCTCCCGGGGGGAGGTCACTGAGGTCGTCAAACAACTCCACAGTGGCAAAGCCCCGGGGGTGGATGAGATCCGCCCGGAAATGCTGAAGGCTCTGGGTGTTGAGGGACTGTCATGGTTGACATGTCTCATCAACGTTGCGTGGAAGTCGGAAACAGTACCGAAGGAGTGGCAGACCGGGGTGGTGGTTCCCCTTTTTAAAAAGGGGGATCAGAGGGTGTGTGCCAATTACAGAGGCATCACACTACTCAGCCTCCCCGGGAAAATGTACTCTAAGGTACTCGAAAGGAGGGTCAGGCCGATTGTCGAACCTCAGATTGAGGAGGAACAATGCGGATTCCGTCCTGGTCGTGGAACAACGGATCAGCTTTTTACTCTCGCAAGGATCCTGGAGGGGGCCTGGGAGTACGCTTATCCGGTCTACATGTGTTTTGTAGACTTGGAGAAGGCGTATGACCGAGTTCCCAGGAAGTTACTATGGGAGGTGCTGCGGGAGTATGGGGTGAGGGGGTCTCTACTCAGGGCCATCCAATCTCTGTACTCCCAAAGCGAGAGCTGTGTCCGGGTCCTCGGCAGTAAGTCGGACCCATTTCCGGTGAGGGTTGGCCTCCGCCAGGGCTGTGCTTTGTCACCAATCCTGTTTGTAATATACATGGATCGGATTTCGAGGCGTAGTCATGGGGGAGGGGGTCTGCAGTTCGGTGGACTAAGGATTGCACCACTGCTTTTTGCAGATGATGTGGTTCTAATGGCTTCATCGGTCTGCGACCTTCAGCACTCACTGGATCGGTTCGCAACCGAGTGTGAAGCGGCTGGGATGAGGATCAGTACCCTCCAAATCTGAGGCCATGGTTCTCAGCAGGAAACCGATGGACTGTCCACTCCAAGTAGGGAATGAGTCCTTACCCCAAGTGAAGGAGTTCAAGTATCTCGGGGTCTTGTTCTCGAGTGAGGGAACAATGGAGCGTGAGATGGGCCCGGAGAATCGGAGCAGCGGGAGCGGTACTGCAGTCGCTTTACCGCACCGTTGTGACGAAAAGGGAGCTGAGCCAGAAGGCAAAGCTCTCTGTCTACCGGGCCATTTTCGTTCCTACCCTCACCTATGGTCATGAAGGATGGGTCATGACCGAAAGAACGAGATCGCGGATACAAGCGGCCGAGATGGGTTTTCTCCGCAGGGTGGCTGGTGTCTCCCTTAGGGATAAGGTGAGAAGTTCGGTCATCAGGGAGGGACTCGGAGTTGAGCCGCTCCTCCTTCGCGTCGAAAGGAGCCAGTTGAGGTGGTTCGGGCACCTAGTTAGGATGCCACCTGGGCGCCTCCCTAGGGAGGTGTTCCAGGCACGTCCAACTGGGAAGAGACCAAGGGGTAGACCTAGGACCAGGTGGAGGGATTATATCTCTTCGCTGGCCTGGGAGCGCCTTGGGATCCCCCAGTCAGAGCTGGTTGATGTCGCCAGGTAAAAGAAAGTTTGGGGCTCTCTGCTGGAACTGCTACCCCCGCGACCCGACCACGGATAAGCGGGAGAAGATCGATGGATGGATGAATAACATATTTGTATTACATATTTAATACAACAGACATGTATTGGGATAAAATATCTGCCACGAACAAAATAGTTATTCTGCATGCTGAGTCAAAAGCTTGTCTGGAGGGTTGTCAAAACGTGCACAGAGACCAGCTTTTATGATCTGAGAGAGAGAGGAGAGAGAGAGAGAGAGAGGGAGAGAGAGAGAGAGAGAGAGAGAGAGAGAGATAGAGAGAGAGAGAGAGAGAGAGAGAGAGAGAGAGAGAGAGAAGCCATCTGCGTGTTCTGCTGCACTGGATGCAGTCTCCATGGCAACATGGTGCTCCCGCAGTGAAATCCTGGGAAGATGGTCCCCACCCCCTTCCGCATGCATGCATGCACATATGCAAACTGGCAAAGGATGGTGCTCATACCTCCGGTAGCCATACTCACAGATGTTACAAACCCTGCAATCACAATTTTCCTGTCCATACACTTCACTGTTTATATTCTCTCTCTCTCTCTCTCTCTACATGATACACCCAGACCTTACAACACTGTCATGTTATGCTTCAGAATAAACTATGTTTCCTTAAACAACCTTTACTTAGCCTATATACTCTTACTTTTATGTTATTCTCTCTTTTTTCCATCAGTAGTTGCACCTCCTTCTAAAGCTGATTTTCACATGTATGTACAGCCTGTCAATAAGTACAATTTTATGTTTTATCTCACATCTTCCTCCAATTAGTTTGTATCTACACTGGACCTGGGTCCTTATTTGAGGAGGAGACTGCAGGCTGGTTGCCTTTAAAGTTTCTCAAACTGACTGACTCCCATTCTCTTATATGAAGCATCACATGTTCTGCTTGGTGGTTTGGGGTTTCTTATTCTCCTAACACATGCAATCAAAAAACAAAAACGGAGATTGAGAGCAGCAATTAAAAAAATCTCCCACTTTGTGTCGCTATCTCTTCTTAACTTTGTTCATCTCTTACACCATTGGTCAATCTAGCCCCCTCCCCTTTTCACACCAGCCAGTCATCTCATACAATCTCTCTGCATCTCTAGCCTCCTAAGAGCCCCTCTCTCTCTCCCTCCTGTCAGCACACACATGCATTAAAGCTAGATACTGATCACACTTAAACACACACACACAGACACACGCGCGCACACACACACACACGCATTGTTCCTGCCTCCCTCTCTTCACTCTCTGTGTGAGGTGCGCTTTGCTTTGGCAATGCTGGGTTTTGCGGACGGATATCGCTCCCCGTGGAGCAGCGCGTGCTGAAACTTCCCTGGTACTGTCCTTCATCTGTCAGGAACCTGCTGTAAGTAAATCCTTCTCTCCCAGACATTCGCTCTTTCATGTCATCCCCACTGTGTGTGAAAATGCTCATTCCCTCATCCTCCATATTTCCTTCTCTCACTCTCCTCGCCTTGGCAGAGAGTCAGCCTTTCTTTCTCCCAAATCTCCCTCTGTCCTGTTTCCCCTCCACTGATGGACGTGTACACCTAATGGTGTCTGTGTGCAAAC